TAAAAGAAAATAGGTGTTTCCATTTAAGATTTCAAAGTTGACCTTCACGGTGTCCTTCAAGGTCACATGAAGGTCATTTCAACATAACCATATAATAGACCACTTGATATATTAAAACTTTTGTATTAAACATTTTTTTCCATAAGCATTATTTTCCAAGATATTTGACCGTTGCCAAACTTTCTCCCATCACTGTATAATATATATATATACACGGTGGGCTATTTTAATCTCCCCACCTAAATTTCTCGGAATCTAAGCCAGATAGAGAAAAATGGTCCAGACAAACTTTTGTCAACAGTAAAAGGGGACAGAGGGGGTCACCTAATGGTACCAAGGACCTTGACCTTGAACTCGATTTTCAAGGTCAAAGTGATTTTTTTAAATGGGAACACCTATTTTTGACCCCGAATTTGAAAAGAGCGGGAAATTTTACGTTCAACATGATATGTTTATCAAGGTCATGGCAAGGTCGAATGAAGGTCAAGTTTGCGAATTTTGATTTCCTAATTGAATATACCGGAACCTAAGTATCGTACTTCACTACTGCGCATGCATAAGTATCGTACTAACCAATAACTTAAACCATAACCCAACACATCCCATATTCCAAAACGAGCCCATAACGATAATCGGACCAATAACCATAACCCAACCCATAACCCATATCCCAGTAAAGACGGCGACTCCATAATGATTGCGAAAAAAAACAATGAATATTAAAAATCCTTAGTACGTACATGTCTCATGAATATTTTGAATACCTGTCTCATAAATACATACTTTATTTAGTTGTTACATCAATTTGATTTTTCATAGTTATAAAGTACGATTCAATAATTCTTCGATTCTTCTTTTTTTTTATAAGTTTGTAAGATTTCGATTAACATTGCATTATCTACATTTTGTTAAGGTGAAGAACAGCTCTAAAACAATCTCATAAATATTTATTCAATTTTTAGATTAATTTGATTTTTTTATGGATTTAGATTTTGGAAAATCAAAAAAAGTAAATTAATAATACAGTTTAAGTCATTTTTCCATTTTTCTCTTTTTTACAAGTCTTTAAGATTTTGATTATCATTTCGTAATCTAAATTTCGTAAAGGTGACGAATAAAATATTTTTAACAAAAAAAGTGAATTAATAATACAGTTTCAGTTATTTTTCAATTTTTTTTGAAAATAACCTTGAAATAACCTTGAAAATCGAGTTCAAGAGGTCAAGATCAGAGTACAGAGGTGACCCCCTCGACCCCCTTTAACATTTGTCTGAACCAATTTTACGTATTTGGCTTAGGTTCTGAAAAATGTAAGTGGGGAGTTTAAATTCGCAAATTTGACCTTCGTTCGACCTTGCCATGACCTTGATAAACATATCATTTTGAACGTAAAATTTCCCGCTCTTTTCAAATCCGGGGTCAAAAATAGGTGTTCCCATTTAAAAAAATCACTTTTTTAATTTGAACTTTGAAATAACCTTGAAAATTGAGTTCAAGGTCAAGGTCCTTGGTACCATTAGGTGACCCCCTCTGTCCCCTTCTACTTTTGTCTGGACCATTTTTCTCTATCTGGCTTAGATTCCGAGAAATTCAGGTGGGGAGATTAAAATGGCCCACC